TTCTCACAGGTCAGTGTTTCCCTTTGGCTGAGTTTTAGCCAATAGGAACGAAGCTAGATAGTTTGTAAACGACTGAATGTCACTTTTGGTTTTCCCCTGTCCCGCACACTTGGTTTGTCTTGGACACTCTGCGCAAAGTTGCTACACGCCTATCACCTACGCCTACCTCCTGTCCTACCTCCTGTTTCCTACTTCGTGACAGGTTATGAGCCCTCCTGCTTCGACCATTACCGCCTACTCCGGCATTCTCCTCGACGACGCCTACAAATTCTATGCTGCGTGGCGCACCACGTTTGAAGAAGCGGCCGTGACCGCGGGTTTCTTCTCCCTCTACACCAACGAGACCTACTGCCCAACACGCATCGAAACTGACGCCTACACTATCAGCCAAGCCAAGCTCCAGGTGGACAAGATCCGCAATGATGCGAAGTACTCCACCGACGGTTATGCTAGTGACGCCTTGGAACAGCGTCTTACAACTGTGAAACGCCTCGAATAAGACTTCACGCCCAAGTTCCTGGACGAGTATATCGCGGAGTCCCTCGCCGCCTTACGCGTCCAAGCTAAGGCATTTCTCTTCAACTCCCTCACTCCTATCCTCCAACAAGTCATCGGTTCCCACGCCTCTCCCTTCTCTCTCTGGGCCGCTCTTATGGCGCGACATGAAGCCGGCACCCGCGACCCCATGATCCTGTTTGCGAGTCTCACCCAACTTAAGTACAGTGAGGACATCAGTGCCGAGACCCTTTTCAATACTCTCGACGATCAGATCAACTTGATCGAAACGGCAACCCTCCCTGCGAACGCCGACGCCCTCACGGCTCGCGAAGGTCATGTCAAGACCTTTGAGCTCTTTCGAACTCTCTTTTACTCTAACGCCTTTGCCGCCAACAAAGACATGTGGGACGCCGTTTGTCAGCTCCAATTCAAGACGCGCGAGGATGGATCCGAATGCACGCCTACTGCCATCAAGGCTACTATTCGCCACACCCTAAACATCGCCACTCGCCGCAATCTCATCCTCTCGGATCAAGGCTCCGGTGACTCCGACTCCCGTCGACGTCAAGTTGCTGCTGCCGCTACCTACACTACGCCTCCTACCGCCGTGTATGCAACGCCTTCCACTACCCATCCTCCGCCTACTTATACTGCTGCTGCTGCCCCTTCTTACGAGTCACTGCCAGGTTGGGCACACTCCAACTGTCACAACCATCCTTTCAATTCTTGTTTCTACTGCGGCTCGCCTGAACACCGCCTTCCTGATTACCGCACCATGCGCGATGATGACAGTCGAAACCGTATCCGTGCCGGCGTTCCCAAGCACGTGGTTGATACACATTGTCGTCGGAAACGTGTATCGTCTCGCAAGATCATGGATGATCACACGCAGCATCATCGCCGCCACCACGATGACTACGACGACAACCACGGGAACAATCAAGGTCCCCACAGCAGCTATCCCAAGCGCCATCGTGATGACTCTCGACCGCCTCCCCGAACTTCTAATCGTCGATCGCCTCCACGTTCCTCGCAAAGAGGTCGTTCCTCCGGCCGCTCCTCTCGAGCCACTCAACGCCTTTCTACCCCATCATTTCCCAACCACTCAGACTCCAGTCGTAGTCGACCCATATCCCCTCCATCCTCCGCCTATCCTCGCCTTTCGTCCGCTACCCGTCGCGCTCGTTCATCGCCTCCTAAACGTCGTGCTTCTCCATCACGACCATCTGCTGGATGGAATACATCCCAAACCTTTCATCCTTCTTTCGCCTTTCTACGTCGCTCTACATCGGCACCACCTGCGAAACGACATCGCCTTCCCACTCCCGCCTCTCAAACCTCTACTACAAAGGCATCCATTCCGCCTACCTTAGCTACAACGCCATGCCCTCCATCTTCATCCACGCCTACCGCCCACAATCGGGCTACCTCTACAGCACTCATCGTTCAACCCCAGTTTCCATCCCAACCAAACTATATACCACTTCCTTCCGCCTCTTCCACGGTGGATGACTCTATTCTGCCCCCACTCCCCGCCTATCGTATTCATCCTCCGCGTACGCCTCCCAACTCTAACAAACTCACTACACGACCTCCCACGCCTGCCGATTACGTTGACCCACCTGCACGACAGTTACCCGTACGCCTCAACCGTCGTGGTGGCGCCTACAGTGCACCTCCGCCTCCTCGCGCTGGCCGCCCTTATTATTCCTCAGATGAAGAAGACCGCTGGGGTCCAATTCATGACGTCGCCTACAGCCAAATGGCCAACATTACTGCCGACGCCTTTCACCAACTGTCTTATGACAAGTGTGTCGCCTACCATCTTTTCAAGCACCAAACCGGTCTCCATCCCAAAGCGAGACCACCCCCTATCCCACTCATCAAAGACATCCTCCAACTCAAAGACTACCAAGCCAACCCTACGCCTCCCACAATGACCACCCACTTTTCCTTCTACGTTGGAATCACCTGGGACACGGTCTGCCTGAAGGTCTACTTTCCCAACCACACTAACCCATTTCGCTTGGAACCCTCACTCTATCCCCAACTCTCCAACGAATGGATCATCGACTCTGGTGCCACCGCCTCCTGCACGCCTCACCGCCGCTACTTTATCGACTCCGCCTTTGTTGACAAATCATTTACTCTTGCTGTGGGTGATGGTGGCAAACTCCTGTTCTCGGCTACGGGCCGATCGATCTCGGCGTTACCACCCACTCTGGCGACACCTCGGCCACTCTCACCGCTCATCATGAGCCTCTCTCTACCCTTTGCCCTACATTACCCCGCCTTACAATTCAACCTTCTCTCCGTCCGTCACTGTGTTCAAGCTGGCTGCCACTTTGATTTCTCGCACCCATCGCACTGCCTCATGGACATCGGTCGTGGCCTTTATTTGCGTGCTCAAGTTAACGCCTTGGGACTCTACTCCTTTCCGGCGCAGCCTTACACACGCCTAGCCAGCAATCCTCCGCCTCACCCTCCCGCTACAGTTGCAGCTGCCATCATGGAATTTCAGGCTAACCTAGCTGCTCACCCTTCCCTTAGTTATGCAGATCCATACCACATCAACTTCGCCACGCCTACTCCCTCCTCCATTTCTACGCTTGAATCTACCGTACAAACCGCGGCGCGCTCCGAAGTAATCGATCAATTGCACATCTATATTATTTACTTTGGACGTTCGCCTAAACAGACTATCTTCAAGTCTCCATCAAGCAAGGCTGTACATTTCTCATTACCGCCTACCACCACACTATCTCCCCCAACCCCAACGCCTCGTCCCAACGCCTCGTCCCTTATTCCCTGTTTATCCGGCACTTCGAAATTTTCTGCAGTACACGCCTTGTCCCATACTTCCAACGTTATCACTCCGATCCAGTCCACTCCCATCCCTCCATCTACCAACAAATCTCTTCTATCTTCGCCTCCCCCTACAACTCCAACACCTACAACGCCTTCCCTTGCACTGGCTACTGCAACCACCTCAACCACACGCCTATCTAACGACGCTCTCTTCCGTATTTGGCACAACCGACTCGGCCACCCAAGCTCCACCGTTCTCCAAAGCCTCGTCAAGACCCACCCCGACTTCTCTACCGATCGCCCACGCCTATTCAAATCCTTCACCTGCGATACTTGCGAATTCGCCAAGTCTCGTCGACAACAGTTTTCCTCCGCAGCCGTCTTTCGCGCCTCCTCCTTCCTTCTTCTCGTCCACACCGACATTTGGGGCCCGTGTCCAGTGCCATCGATTGGTGGCAGCTTCTACTTCGTCGTGTTTATCGACGACTACTCCCGCTTTACCTGGGTCTACCCACTCGCCTTCCGCAAGGACCTTTATGACGCCTACGAACTCTTCCGCCTCCAAGCCATTACAACCTTCAAGACCGACATCAACACTCTCCAGTACCTACCGCCTACTGACATCGGCAATCTACAAGCCGACAATGCCAAGGAAGAATACAAGCAAAATGGACAAGCGATGCAATTAGTGGAACAAAGTCGGGCAGGATATATCATCGGCCCGAAGTACTCCACCAAGACCACATTTCAAACGCCTACTCGCCTGCCCAAAACGCCGTGGCCGAACGCCGCATTGGCTTACTCGTTATGAAGATGCGAGCGCTTTTACTGGCCGGCAATCTCCCCAAGTTTCTATGGGCCGAAGCCGTTATCTACTCCGCCTGGCTCTACAACATCTCGCCTTCCACCTCGAACGACGGTCAGTCGCCTTACTATCGAGTTTTCTCCCGACACCCACCCCTCGCCTACATTCGCACCTTCGGCTGCACCGCCTTCGTTCATATCCAAAAGGCTAACCAATCGAACAAACTCGATGCACGCGCCATCAAGTGCATGTTCGTGGGCCTACCCGATGATCGCAAGGGTTACAAACTCCTCAACGCCTACTCCCACCAACTACTTTACTCCCGTGATGTTGTTTTCCACGAAGATGAATTCCCACCCATCAACACCATCCAAGCTGCAGCAGCATTTCGCCTTCGCGCCCGTGATGCATCCGACATTCCATCCATTACACCTCATGAATCTCTGCCGCCTCTCTCTACTCGCCTCGATCCAACCATTTTTACTCCGCTCCCTTCAACATCTCCACCGCCTACCACCGACCAATTGTCTCCGCCCCAGATTTACTCTCTGTCTGCCGCCTTTGACGAACTCCAACTTGCTCTACCATATCGCAGTCCACGTTTCCACCCGCCTACCACCCTACTTGCCCAACATCACAGCCGCACCACTCCAACGCCTACACTACCAGGCACTCCGTTTTGTCTGTCCGCCTCTCATCTACCCTTTGTTGACATCTCCATCGATGATCTTGCTACGCCAACGCCAAACAGGCGTCAATTATCCGAACAGCCATGACCACCTCTATCTCG